GCCCCGGGGGTGGAGCCCCTGCCACTCCTCGGGGTACTGGTTTCATGCTGTGCTTGCCCAGATGTTTTAGCATCTAAACTCCCTGGATGACACCTTGGCAGCCCTGCCGGCACTGACTGGTGCTCCTGGACCACCCCAAGCTGCTGCTCGCTGCGAATGGGTGGCAGTGGGTGCAGTGGGCTCAGGTGGGTGCAGTGGGCTGGGGTGGGTGCAACGGACTTGGGTGGATGCAGAGGGCTCAAGTGGAGCCCCAAGCAACTAAAAAACAGCCGTGGCTTTGCTGTGGTCAGGGTGTTTTTCCGCAGCTTTCTCCAGGGGTGGGGTATTTCGGGGGTGGTGGAGGGACCTGTCTGAAGGCTCAACCTCCTCCTCCCGCAGGTTCAAGGTCCCTGGCAGCTCCCGCTGCCTGGCTGGGACTCACCGGGGCTCACCCCTCTGGCTGGACCACCAGCCTTGTTGGAAAAACTATTTCTCTGGAGGTGGAGGGGGTCTGGGTGGCAAAACTCTGCTGCCTGCACGCGACCTTCTGCAAATGCCATTTGCTGAATCATTTAAGACAGAACCAGATCAATTAAGGTTTGCTAATGAAAGGCCAGATGGCCAGGGAGGTGGGGCGGGAGGGAAGGAGCCACGCAGGCTCTGGCAGCAGGTAGCAAGTCAGAGCCGGGATGGGATTTACACTCCTGGCAGAACCCTTGCCCCCCTCCCTCTCCTGGTTTAAGGAGAAATTGTTGGTCTCCTTTGGAGGATGGATGAATTTTTGGTCAACAAGCTGAAAAACAGAGGAGAGGCCGCAGGGCTTGACCCTTTGCATGGGATGATGTTCCTCGGAGACCACTGGTGGATCAGTCCCATTTTGGGTGTCTCCAACCCACGGACCACGTCAGTCCATGGTTCCCTCAAACTCTTCATGATGGCACATTGAAGGTGGCTTGCACGGGTGCAAGAGACCTGGACCACGGTGCCGGAGCAGCCCCTGACCCCTTCTCCTCCTGCAGGAGCCTGGCTCGGCTTTCCTGCAATTGGGTGTCTCCATCGAGCAGCAAATCCAGGTGATCTTCAAGGTGTTGGAGGAATACGACTGGGGCTCCTTCGCTGTCATCACCAGCCTCTACCCGGGCTACAACATCTTCCTGGATGTCATCCGCTCCTTCACAGACGCCAGCTACTTCGGCTGGGAGTTGCAGGAGGTGCTCACCTTTGAGATGAGCCAGGAGCGGAGCAGCTCCAGGACACAGCGGCTCTTGCGGCAGATCGATGCCCAGGTCCTCATCGTCTACTGCTCACGAGAGGAGGCTGAGTACCTCTTCGCCATGGCGGAGCAAGCTGGCCTTGTGGGGCCAGGCTACATCTGGATCGTGCCCAGCCTGACAGTGGGCAACATGGAGGTGCCACCTGCCTCCTTCCCTGTCGGCCTCATCAGCGTGGTGACAGAAAGCTGGAAGCTGAGCCTGCGGCAAAAGGTGCGGGATGGGGTGGCCATCATTGCTATGGGGGCGGCCAGCTTCTTCCGGGCCCACGGCTACCTCCCGGAGGTGGGACAGGACTGCTGGGTCCTCACCAGGGCCACCGCCACCAACACCAGCTTCTACAGGTGAGGCTCAGGGACCCACTGGGTGTGAAATGGGGGGAATGGGGAAACGGAGAGGGAAGGGGCAGGGAAGGAGGAGGACGGAGCTGACGGGCAGGGGTGATGATGCTCGCTGTGCACTGCAGCTGGTGGTCCATGCCTCTTGGCTGGGTTTCTCCTGGATCATCTCCCCAGAGCAGCCCTTGTCTTTTCCCCTGCTTCTCTGTGATGTGGGACCCATGGGTGTCTCAGAGGGGTTTCACAGCTCTGCTTTGCAGCGCAGACGTGGCACCTCAGGGCTGCTGTGGTAGTCTGTGCATCCTCAACCATGCAGTGGTCCATCCTCGGTGCCTCTTTGCTGGCAGGGCTCTCTCCAGCTCACTGCTGCCCCTTGCATAGGAGTTAAACCTGGTTCCCAGCTCTCAGCCCCACATCTCTTGATGGGACCCGTGGCAGCCCGGCTGGAGCCAGAGGAGGAGGAGGAGGAGGTGGGCTGTACAGGGCTGGGCTGCACAGCCAGGGGCTTACGGAGCTCTGTGTCCCACCAGGCACCTCCTCAATGTGACATGGGAGCACAGGGACTTCTCCTTCAATGAAGGCGGCTACCTGATCAGGCCCACTATGGTGGTGATCTCACTCAACCAGCACCGGCTCTGGGAGATGGTAGGACACCTGGACTCCCCAGGACGGGCACACCGGGGAGGGTGGCTGGGCAGGGTGAGCCTGGGGCCATGCACAGGTTGTGGTCCCATCCTGGGGCAGGTTGTCCCATGCAAAACCCATGGCTGGTACCAAAAGTACCCACGGTGGCATGGTGGGGCTTTGCGGCAATGCCAGACACCAAAGCTCTGCCAAGATCTGGGGTTTTTTCCCTGCAATTTGGCTGAAAAGTTCCAAAACAGGCAAAAATGCAGCCGCCCACTTCTGGAGAACAGCAGCCAAACACCTAGACCTGAAACAAGCTGCACAGAGGGTTTTTTTCTAATTTAAAAGTATTTTGGGTGAAGTTTGGCCAGGTTTGTGCTCACCCAAGCCCGGTGCTTGGGGCCCAGAAGGAAACACCTTGCCCCGTGGTCAGTGGGTGCATGGGGAAAGGGATGCTGAGATGGGTCTCACCATGGCTGAGCTCCAGCCTAATGATGCTCCAGGAGAAACGAAGCCCAAAGGCATTGGGAGGATGGACACAGGACCCCATGTGACCCCCAGAGCCCCTCACTGGGGTGACAGTGCGCTCTCCCTTGGGGGCAGGTGGGAAAGTGGGAGAAAGGCATCATCCACATGAAGTACCCGGTATGGCCCCGCTACGGCTCCTTCCTGCAGCCTGTGGCTGATAACCGCCACCTGACAGTGGCCACACTGGAGGAGAGACCCTTTGTCATCGTGGAGAACACGGATCCCAGCACTGGGGTCTGTGTGCGCAATACTGTGCCCTGCCGTAAGCAGACCAACTCCTCCCAGAGGTGAGCAGCAAGGATGGAGCTCGGCAATTTTGGCCACTGCTCCCCAGGCACGTGGTGTCCAGGAGGCACCAGGGTGCTCAGAGCATCTTTGGTTGGTCCAACCCATTTTTCCCGGTGTGGTTTCAGTGGAGATGGCCTCGTGGATCCCTACACCAAGCTGTGCTGCAAGGGCTTCTGCATTGACATCCTGAAGAAGCTGGCCAAGGCAGTTAAGTTCTCCTACGACCTCTACCTAGTGACCAACGGCAAACATGGCAAGATTGTCCGCGGGGTCTGGAACGGCATGATTGGTGAGGTAGGGGTGGGCATGGCTTGGACTCCACCTTCGGCCCTCTCTGGAGGGCACCGCTCACTCTGAGCATGCCCTGACCTGGGGCTTTCCTGCCGGAGACCGGGTCAGGTGGGACTCTGGGTGGGGGACAGCTTGGCATGAGCTTATGGGCACGGCTTGGTGGAGGAGAACGGGGAGGGAGTCAGATGAACATTTACAACCCCACAGCTGGTTGTGTTTGTATCATTGGTCATTTAAGAAGCTAATATTTAAAAAAAAAAAGACAAAAGTTAAGGTTGGAAATGCTGGAGATGAGGAAATGCCTGGGGAAGGTGGTCTGGGTCCCTCTGCCTGTCCATCTGCCCATCCCCAGACCATTTGCCCCTTCCCCAGGTGTACTACAAGCGTGCGGACATGGCCATTGGCTCCCTCACCATCAACGAGGAGCGCTCCGAGATCGTGGACTTCTCTGTGCCCTTCGTGGAGACGGGCATCAGTGTTATGGTGGCCAGGAGCAACGGCACTGTCTCCCCCTCTGCCTTTCTGGGTGAGCCGTGTGCCCCTCCATCTGTCTGTCTGTCTGTCTGTCTGCAAGTTCATCCCATGCTTCCAACAAATGCAAATTAGAAATATTGTTCCATTTTAATAACTTTTAAGAAAGAAAAGCCTAATTCATAAGGGAAGGAGATTGTGCTGCTGGCTTTGGGGCTTCCTCCTCCGCTCTCCTGAACAATCCTTTCATTACAGAGACGGATCGGTGGTTTCCTTCTCTTCATTACTTGTGTGGAGGAGGGAGAACAGGGCCGTGGGGGGAGACAAGGTGGGGATTTGCCAGCTCCGAGATCTGCTCTGGGGACCGCATCTCTGCCACCATCACCAGAGCCCACGGTTAAGTCGGGTGTAGGAAACTGCCGGTGCTAAAAGTTTTATTTAATGAGTTTTAAAAGAGCAAAGCTGCAGCCTAGGAAGGGGAGGACACTGGCCAAGGTCATCACGAAATTCAGCCTGAGCGCTTGAGCAGGGCTTGAGGCTCTCGGCAATGGCACAGCGGCGGCATCCCAACTCGGCTGGAGCTGAGCTCTGGCACAGGGAGGGTGTGGGTGGGTGCGGGTGGGTGTGGGTGCCAGGGATGCTGTGGGGTGCAGGGTATCGCCAGCCTGGGCATGTCTTCCCCCTCCTGTCCCCATGCCATGGGGCCTGACCCCCCTGAAGCAGGGGTCACCTTGACCAGCCCCAGGGACAGGTGGAGCATCCCGCCGCAGTTCGGCAGGGCTGGGGTCCGTGGACCCTGCGCCACTGTCTCCTGCACTAATGAGCTGCATCCCCATCAGGGGAGGCCTCTCCTCCCTGACAGTGAAGGACACGCTGACAAATGGACCTCGGTGGCCGCATGTCGAGGGTTCGGATGCATCCCCACCACTCCTGCCTCCCCATCGCGGCTCATCCCGGGCAGGTGGGGG